TTTTTTTTTTTTTTTTTTTTTTTTTTTTTTTTAAATGGATAACTGGCTGCTCTGGAAACCTCTCTTTCCTGTAGAGAAGGAGGAGGTAGAAAGCGTCACTCACCTGCCTTCAGTAGGAGTGGGGACTGGGGGGGGGCTGTGACTGAGGCTCAGCTCTGGGGGGAGGGGAGAACGGGGCGAAGCCTTCACTTGAGCAGTTTGAGCTCAGGATCTGAGCTGTTCCACCTGGGTGTTCTGTTAGTTGGGGTGGCTCCCGAGGAGCACCGTGGTCCTCGCAGGGGAGCATCCTCCTGTCCTCTGGTCGTGCAGGAGGGGAGGGATGTGCCTCTGGCTTTCACAGCCACCTTGTGAGGGCTGCGGGCTGTGCTAGGAGCTGGGAGCAGAGAGCAACCCGGAGGGGCGCTGCACATGCAGCCCGGCTGTGGGTGCCCCGCTGCTTACACGTGGTCTCTTTCTCTCTCCTACCAGCTCTCTCTCTCCTGTCTGTGCACCGTGGCTGCCCTGGAGTCTCCAGACTGAACCCCCGGGGTTCTCGTGCCCCAGATCCCTCTTCACCTTCTGCCTCCCCACTGCCTGTCAGGCTGGGCGGTGCAGGGCTGGGGGCCGTGCTGTGCTCCACCTCTTGGCACCGCTGTCCGCCTCCTCAGGGTCCCCATTTGCCCCGGCCACCTGCCCTGAGAGGAAGGGGTCACAGAGGATGCCAAGGGTCCCTAGCAGGCCTTGGGGGTGTAGAGGTTTTGTGTTTTGTCTCAGTTCAGAGAAGAACTCGTGGGATCTTGGAAGAGAGAGGTCATTTCTGAGAAGGAGCGAATTCTTTGAAAAGACGTCTATTTTCCCTAAGCAGAGGCAAATACCCAACAAGTGTAAGAAAGGAGGCTGCTAGGTTGGACCCCGCTCTCCCAGGCCGATGGACTCCGGGCAGCCAGCTGACGGGAGGGGCCGCAAAGGAAGTGCATCCCCACCCTGTTCTGACTCCCCCTTCCCTTACCACTGGACCCACATCCAGGACCCCGGGTGGAGACCAGGCACTGGCCTGGTTGTGGCTTGGCCTCGCCCACATCCCCTCCACCCCGGGAAACGCTGCTCTTCACTGGGTTAACAGCTGCCACCTGGTGACAAGGGACAGTGCCCTGTGCTGAACAGTGGTCACACTGGATGGAGCTCAGCTCTGCCGCTCCCTGCCTGTGTGATCCTGGGCAGACTCACGAGCCGTTCAGATCTCAGTTTTCTCATCTACAGAATGGGAAAAACAATAGTTCCTTCCTAACGCAATTAAGCAGGTTCACTAACGTGAAGTGTCTAGCACAGTGTCTGATAGGTGGAGACACCCCATAAACAGTAGTTATTAGTGTAGCTGTCTGTCTTGGGCGGGAGATGATTTATGTGGGGCCCGACAGACCCTTGACTCAATTTGGGGGGGCCAGACTTAGCCAGTCTCCTCTTCTGTCCTTACACGTTCGCATACTGTGACTGGGTGGTGGGGAGATAGGAAGGAAGTTACATCCGGGGCAGGTGGGAATGGAGGCACCTCCCTGCTTCCCGGCTGAGGGAGGGAGGGAGGATGCATGGTCAAGGTTCTGATTTAGCTCAGCACCAACCCTCCCAACCCTTCCCAGGCCTAGGTACTGCTTCCAGGGCCCCTCCACGGGCAAGTGACTTGTAGAATCTCCAAGGCTCCACACTCAGAAGAGCTATGCTTGGTTTATGTTCTGCTGCCATCTTAAAATTCTCTGCTCAGTTAGCCTGGAGAAAGGCCCTGACATTTTCATTCTGCACTGGGCCCTGTCCATGGGGAGCAAGTTTGCCTCTGTCCTGTCAGGAAGTACCTAGCAAGACAGACATTTGCTTCCCTTGGGGGCAACTCTGGGCCCTCCTCTCCTTGGATGGGTGCCCCTCCTTGATTTTCCTGTCTGCTGTGACTGATGACTTCAGTAGCTGAGTTTCCTGGTTTCTGCCTTTGCCCCTCTCTGTGGTCCCTGCAGATGCTGCAATTCCTAGTGGTTCTTTCCATCCCCCCACCCCCGGGCCCCCCCTCTGTTTCTTTGCAGATTTCTGCCTGGCTGCTTCCTCCTGAGCTTGCCTTTCCCCTGAGCTTCCTCCCTCCTATCTGTCAATGGGGTCAGTGTCTCTCAGGCATGGCCCTGACCCCTTTTGCTCTGTGACAGTTGTCTACAGCCTCCATCCGGCTGGACCACAGAACTGCTGCATAAACAAGTCGAGCTCTGTCCCTATTTGGGCAAATCTGCAAGTGAAAAAATAATAAGTTGTCAGAATTCCAGGAATGTGGAGCACTCAGAGATTCCTTAGGCAAAATATTCTCAGTGTGGCAAAGTGTATCTATCGCTCGGGCAGGAGACAGAGCTGGCTTCGCTCTAAGAGGGCCAGCTTCTGAGAAAGGAGGGGAGTTGTGTGCGGATTCTGAGAGGACAAAATGTTCCTACCTATTTTATCATGAGGCAGTTTTCCTTGAATTTCATAGAATTGTGTGTGGGTGTGTGTCCTTTTAATAACTTCATTTCAAAATTATGTTTCTTATGACCTCTGGCTAAGTAATAATAATATTGATAGTAGGTTTGTAAGATTTAGCAAATAAAAACACAGGATTTCCAGTTAAATTTGAGTTTCAGATAAACAGTGATAACATTTTCAGTATTATTATATCCAAACCATTGCCTGGGCTTAGTATTTTATCTTGTAATGAGGGCTAACATCATTCCCTATATGTGTCATCTACTAGAAGCAGTATCTTAACCCTAATTAGTAGATACTATTTGTTTATTTATTTGTTTTTTTATTGAGTTTATTGGCACATTTTAGGTATACAGTACAGTTACCTTCATTATTGGGATCTTGTACCTTTGCATGACAGGTCTTGGTTCTCATTTTTTCCCCTTGTCCCTGCCCTCCCTTCACCCCCTCCTCCCCTCCCCATTTACAAACACTTTATTTCCATCTTTTCATTTTCTCATAGACACTATTTGTTGAGTCTCCACAATATTCTAGTCACCTGTGTAAATTATTTCTTTTATGAAGCTGATCCCAAGAGCAGCTATTTCTAAAGCAGAAATAAAAGCTAAACTTCACACAGACAATCCAAGGGAGAGGTGAGGAAGCCTCAGATTCAACCAAATCCTATCACAAGTTTAGCCTCCCTAAAACAAAAATTGGATATTCCAAATACTCTGAAAATTTGAAACCTTTTGAGCACTGAGTGATACTCATGGAAAAATTCATGCCACGGAGCTCTGTTTCATGCACAAATTATTTAAAAATATATAAAATTACCTTCGGTTTGCATGTGTAAGGTGTACATGAAACAAACAGATTTTGTTTTAGACGTCAGTCCTGTACCTGAGATACCTTGTTGTATACCTGCTGTTACTCCAAAATCTGAACAAAGAAATCTGAAATCAAATACTTCTGCACACAAGCATCTGGGATAAGCAACTGTCAACCTATTCCAGAGCATACTATAGTCTGGTTACCAGAAGTCAGCGGGTGATTCTGGGGACCACACAAATGGGAAACCACAGCATAGAGACAGAATCCTACAAAGATGATAAAAGCAAATAAAATTTTAAAAAGATGAAAAATGTAAAGCCAGGAGGACCGAAGTAATGGCCCAAAAGCCAGTATATTAGACCAGGGGAAGACGAGGAGAGAGAGAACGGAAAGATGTTTGCATGTGCCTATGACTTGCAAGTATGGCTTCCGTGGGGTCTCAGGAACATCGGGACAGCCAGAACCCACTCCACACTGTGTGTCTGCCCACCCGGCGGCACTGAGCCCTGGGAACTGCCCGGAGACAATGACGGATGGGATTCACATCATGGGGTCCTATGCATGAGCCCAGGGAGGAGCTGATGAGCAGGCAAGGTAGGAGAAAAGCAGTAAGTAGAGTGATTTTCCGTTGCTCGTGGATCACTTCCCAGCGTTGCAAAGGGCAGAGCTGGATTGGAATCATGGCTCAGCCAGTTACTCAGGTTACTCAGCAGATGTTGGGAAAGTTTCCCACAACCTCTTAGATTCCTGGATTTTCTCTGGAGAAAATCGGCTTGATAAAAATCTCCCTCCTTAAGATTTATGAAGACTCTAAAAGGTGAAAATTGCTTTGCGGTTTTTTCCCAGGCAGTTATTATTGTGGAGAAGTCCAGCTTCTCCTTGGAGCAGCAGTCAGAGATCATTAGATACTATTTTGAATAATTTACTTCAGGGCCTGGGATTTAGCTCAATGGGTTCTACCACCTGCCTTGCCAAGTGCAAGGACCGGAGTTCGATCCCCAGTACTAGAAAAACAAAACAAAAAAAACCTCCAATGGAGGGATCTGTTTGAGTTGGATTTGAGTGCAAGCCACTCTGTCCTCAGGCGCCTTTTCTGCCTGGAATGCAAGTCTTCTAAAATAGGGCTTATGTTGAAAGAGAACAGGAGCAAATGATAAGTGTGGTTGGCAAAACATTTAGATCATTTGGGGATAAACATTTTAAGTATAAAATATTTGAATAAACTTAGAATCCCCATCGTTTCTAGGCTTCCAAGAGCACTGCACTGTAGTCAGGAAATATTTGATATTTGTTGAGCATTTATCCTACATCAGACGCTATGTTAGGGAAGACAGTTTTAGTGGTACCTTAATGGCGATACATTTTTTTTTTTAAAAAGTCACATATATAATTAAAATTGTGATGAATGTTATGAAAGATCAGGATGTGAGAGAGTCCAAAACAGAGACCTACCTGAACATTACCTTTCTGGAACAACTCTCCCTATGCCCCCACCTGGGAAAAGGAGTTCCAGCAAAAAGCAAGCTATAAAAGTAATCCAATGAGGGGGTGAAGGGAGGGCAGGGGTAAGGGGAAAAAATGAGAATCAAGACTTGTCATGTAGAGATGCAAGATCCCAACAATGAATGTAACTGTACTGTATCTCTAAAATGTACCAATAAAACTCAATTAAAGCTGAAAAAAAAAAGTAATCCAATGAAGCAAAGTGAAGCCCAGCATAAATTATAAAGGAGAGGTGAGTACACGACATTCTAGATTGGAACTTTCTTCACCAGTGCTCATTTTGCTTACTGGCTAAGAGGAAGCAGTGTGTTTCTTGGACCTCAGACTATTCTACCTGAAGATTTGGTTGGGTTCCACAGCGTGGATACCAGCAGCTACAAATTAAGAGGTTCAGTTTGAAGTATGCACAAAGCAGCTCTTAGACATAACTGTCATTAGTTACTTGCCTCGTTGCTGAGACAAAATAGCTGACACCCAAAGTTAAAGGAGGAAAGGTTTATTTAGCTCATGGTTTGTAGAGTTTTCAGTCCGTAATCGGTTGACCCCAAGGCAGGGGGGCATGGCAGACAAGCACGGCAGAGGAGAAACAGTTCATGGTGGGCAGAAGGTAGCAAAGCAACAAGGGACCATAGCTCTTCCTATCTCTTAGATCTTATCCTTAAGACAAGTACTTAGGGTGGGAAGCACTCATACACTTAATCCTAGCATCCTTGATCCTGGAATTGCGCCATGAATTAATTCCAGTGACACACACTCTAGATCCAGCCACCTCTGAAAAAGCCCCAGCTGTGCCTGCTTGAGGCTTTGGGGGAACATTTAGATGCAAGCCATAACAATAACCACGTCTAGGGAAGCTGAGACTGGGATTATCCCTGTACACAACCTCAAGCATTGGGATAAAAATGTCGTACCAAAGATGCCTGTTCCTTTCGGGTTGTAGAAGCTCTGTGTCTATCATTTGGAGACAGATCTGAATAGTTCCTGGGAGCTTCTAAGAGCCAAAATGTGGAGCCCTTCTTGAAGCCAGCCTTCCTGTGCCTTAGCTTCAGGAGTCCCGAGAGGACACCCTGTAGCCCATCCCAGCGTGAACCTGCTTTGGCAGCTTCGGCAAGGGGACTGGCTCAATGTGACTGTCCCGTACAGCAGCTCAACTCTGGGACTCAGCTGGCAGAAGATGCTAGGATTTTAATTGTGTGCTTCCTTTTTGACAATGTGGCTTTTTTTGTTGTTTCAATTGGTTACATTGGTCAAGTTGTGATACATATCGGGGAGTGAATATTACTGTTCGTTCAGCCCTCTTCCCTGTGAGAAAAGAAACACTTCGCTCCACACTAGTTTCTGTATCTTTTTCTCCCATTCTGTATCAGTGAGAAGTGAAGATACCCCTCTTTATCTTCCCATTCACACACAGACCTGTAGACACTACAGTAGGTTGGGACCAACCCCGAACTTAGTCTTTAATTTATCTTGGTTTTTAGAAGAGCAGCATAAAACTATAGTGGTAAATTATACTCTATCCCTCACCACTTCTTTTATGGGTGTTATTCTTCAGAATAGGGTAGAGTTTGTGGTGATGGGGAAATCCTACCTTTTAAGTAAGAAGATATGGACAGTTTTCTCATGAGGAAGGGTATTTATTTTTCAAATGAGTATTTGAGCAGTCATGATTTAATGACATTGGTTTATTGGCTTTGCTCTTTTTGTTTTACAGAAGCAAACAATCACGGCTGTCAGGAAAGAGGTAATTAGCCGCTCGGTTCCAGTGAAGTTTGATATAAAACCCTGTAACAAATAATATGTCCTTTGTCTTTATGCTCTAGACTGGGTAATGAAATGAAGACCATATGTAATGTTCAGGCGAATGTTTCCAAATTAGTGGACGGCACAGAATGACAAAGGATCTTTTGTAAGATCTGAATGGGGCCAATGAGGAGACTCAGCAGGCAAAACACCCCTTGAAGTCACACATCTGAGGGATAGAAAGAAAGGGCTGTAGAAATTAATACTGCAGAGTGTCCCTGTCCCCAATCTGGCCTCTCTTCTTGCAGCCCCAGGGCCATCCAGAATCTATTCAAGGAGACAACTATTTCAGCCAATCCTCTATCTAGGGCCCAAGACAGAACCCCGAGAAGCCTTGGCCATTGAGGTGGAAGGTGTCAGTGGGTACTTTAGGAGCAGTTGAGGAAGAGATGGCTGGCTTCTTGCATAGGTGCAGAACCAGGAAGATTGAAGATGTCCCCTTTGGTGGGGACCATACTACTTCTGTCAGCCAGAAGCATGTAAAGGAAAAGCCAAGCATCTGGCCCCGTGCTTAGTTTAGTGGTTTGGGGACTTTTTCCCCCATTGGGTGCCTTTTTGCAGGCCAACACAAGATATGTTAAGGCAGCCACTAGTATGGAGTATGGGGTCACCTCTCTACTGTGGGTCTGAGTTCTGTTGGCACTGGGGTGGCCGTCTTGAGGGGATGGGGTGGGCTGTTGTTATGAACAATCGGCTTGTGGTTTTGGAGCCATATATAGTATCAGTTAGTGACACATAAAGGTGGGGAGTTGGATGTCTTCTAACAGCTCTCTCTCTTCCAGATCATGTATTATCAGCAGGCCTTAATGAGGTCCACCGTGAAGTCTTCAGTGTCCCTTGGAGGGTATGTCCCCGATTTGTTGGTCTTGCCAAGGTTTGAGCAGTAGGTAGGTGAGAGGCAAACTTGTGCTTTCAGGCAAGCTGGCCAAGTTGTGAACTGATGGACTTAAGATCTTAGAGAACTGTGAGGTACATAAGTCCAGTGTCTTGGAGTTTATTTTCTAGTTTTTCTCCCTTAGTGAAGTCTCTAGGTCTCGTCTTGGGCTGGGCAAGGTCAAGGGTTCTATGAGACCACTATTTCTTGGACTTTGCTGATGTGTGGAAGGTGGGGAGAGTTGCAAGTCCACAGACTGGACTCTGGGGTTGCAGGAGAGTCTGCAGTGCTGTTGCCACCCGCTCTCATTTATTAGGGATATTAATCTGGTTTTTGCCGCTCCATGTCTATGGCCATTTTCCCCCCTTTTTTTCTCGTACTGGAAATTGAGCCCATACCCTTCACACTGAATTATTATCCCCAGCCCTTTAAAAATTCTTCCTTTTCTTTTGAGACAGGGCTTCCCTAAGTCACTAAGTTGCCTAGATTGAGGTCCTCCTGCCTCAGACCCCCATACTGCTGGGATCGGTACAGATGTGCACCGTCAAACCTGAATTCCGTTGCTAATCTTGGATTTAGAAGAATTTGGATTTATTGGAAATTTACGTTTCATTTATTCAGCTTTCAGGTTACCTGATCTAGTATCTGGGAGATTAAAAACGGGCTTAAGAGCTTCCCCAAACACAAGAAGTTATCCTTTTGAAATGTGAAGTTCATCTTAGAAACACCTTGATAATTCTGAATTTTCCTGCACACATAAAAATAAAGCAGGCTTATCCTGTAATAATTTATTCTGACTGCGTAAGGCCTAAACAATGGCACTGGGTACTGTTGTGATTAAAGAGGCTGTGGTTGGTACAGTGCTTTCCTTCCCATATGGTTAGAGGTTAGGCTCTCAGAAAAGTCTTCAAAGACCTTTCACACTTTAACAAATTCATAGTTTTCAAAAATGTCACCTTCCCCGAGAAAATGTCCCGTGACCTCACCCACATTTTGCAGTGACCCCATTTGGGGCTGCTGAGCCCCGGCCATAGAGGAGAAGTGTACCCCATGCCCACTTTGGATTATGGTGACAATTATTGCTCTACGGCAAACCCAAAACTGTTTATTCTGAAACAGGTTTCATGAAATAGAAAGATAATTGAAGGTGACATGAAGGTTACTGGACACACTTTCCCATTTTGGAAAAATTGTCTCAGCCCCTCATGACCATAATTTTACATCATTAGCATTTGGACTCGTGAACCAGTTTTTTTTCCCCCCTCTCTAACTGCTCCCCTCAGAGTCTGATTGAAGAATAAGAGCATCACGGGAGATGTGAAGCCAGGGGGCTTGAGCTCCGCAAACCTAGGTCTCTGGTTTACCTCTGGGCCGAGGATTCTGTTCCATCCAAACCTATCTCCGTGGGCGGCCTCTGGCAGGTGCCCTTCGTGTACCCTGCGGCGCCTTTCATCACCATGGGTGAAGGTTTTCCATCTTTCTCTGACATCAGGAAATATGAAAACTCAGAAGATCTGATTGAACTCGAGGGAATTTCCTTTTGCTCCAAGCAGTGGGTCTGGGGTTAAACCACAGTTAAGTTGTAAATAATTGGTTTAAGTTCCCAAACCTAGGGGTTATCCTCATAAAGGACAGACCCAGCATGGTGCCAAGGTCCCAGCAATTCTGTGGCAACCTCAGGCTTCCCAAATGAGAAAGCCAAGGTTTTGCAAAAGGAAATTCTGAGTATAATTTGAGGTTCAAAATCTCCTAACAACAGGTGAACATATTTTAATGAACCGAGGACACAGAAGTAAAGTGACAAAGGGACCCGATCGGGAGAGAACACTTGTTATTCACAGATAGGACACAGATCTCTGCCCAACCCAAGGGCTGGTGGAACGTTTTCCTAAGTAGGCAGTAATAAGTACAGTGGATGACTAAACGGACAGATGAAAAGAGGATACGCCGGTCATTAGTCTGAGCATTCATTTAGGCTCTTGGTGTTGAGCTTCTAGGAAATCATTTTCCATTTACTTTTTAGGATCGTCAAGTACAGTGAGCAGTTCTCATCCAACGATGCCCTCATGTCAGGCTGCCTCCCTAGCAACCCTTGGATAACAGACGACACTCAGTTCTGGGACTTAAATGCCAAATTGTAGGTATTTAATATATTGGGGTTTTATTACTATTGCTTTTTGCATCGCAATTCACACGCCACACAGCTTACCCATTTAAACCGTATATAGTTTCATGGCTTTTATTGTGCTCATTGGGTAGTGCCATGATTACAGTTACTTGCAGAATATTTTCATCACCCTCATAGAGATCTCGAACCTCTAAGCTATCACCCCACCCCACCCCATACTCCAGCCCCGGGCAATCACTCATCAGTCGATTTTCTGCCTCTATGGATTTGCCTACTCTAGATCTTTCATGTAAGGAACCAGACAGCATGTGGTCTTTTATTAATTTTTTTCCACTTTGCATAATACTGTCACAGCTTATCTGTACGTAGCGTGCATCGGCGCTTCATTTCTATTTGTGTGTGGCAATAGTCGTCACGTGGATATCCGATGTCTTGTTTGCCTGCCCACCTGTTTCTGCCTCTTAGCAACGATGAATAAAGCTGCTGTGAACACGCATGAACATTGATGGTGAAGATGCAGCCACAGTGGGTGGCAGGCAGGTGTCTGGCTGGTGGCGGAGACCACAGCGTCCATCACCAGGGCTGCCCTAGAACCGTTTCCTGGCCCCTGACGACAGCCTGACCCTTCCCAGGATGGTCTCCAGGCTTTCAAGGGCACCTTTGTGCTCTTTCTCCCTGAAGGCTATAGGAGCTGGGCCTGAATGGCTAGCTCCCATCACCACTCTTCAGCGCTGAAAGCTCATTTCCTAGAGCACTGGGGGACTCATCTGAGACTGCATCTTCCTGGCCAGGGCTATTTGCACTGTGTGTTTATGCAGGGACTGGCGGTGGAGGAGGAGGAGGACTGAGTGGAACCCTGGGCTGAGGTTCTAGTGGAGGCCGGTGGGGAGCTACAGTCCCTCACCGCCACCCCAGGCATCACTCGGTCCTGCCTTGCTTGAAGAGTTGTGTTTATAAATCATCGCCCTTGCAGGGTGGAAATCCCAACCAAGATGCGGGTGGAACGATGGGCCTTCAATTTCAGTGAGCTGATCCGAGATCCCAAGGGTCGGCAGAGCTTTCAGTACTTTCTCAAGAAAGAATTCAGTGGTGGGTGTTTTTTTCTTATTATTACTAGTTTTTAATTGAAAATAATTTACTTTTAGTAACATTTCTTTGCCATCTAGCCTTGGATTTGCTCAGTGTAAGTTTCCATAGCTTTGCTAAAAAGCTCTGAAACAGGGCTTCCTCCTTAAGAGCACAAGGAGAAATACCTGGGTCTAGTCCCAGCTCCTTAGTCACATGGATTACGTTTCTGAGGGCTCCACCCCTCCTTGACTGCCCTCTATCACCCAAAGAGATCCTGCTCCCTCCATCCCAGCCTTTAAGTGTAGCTTTTCAGGGAAAGTAAAGGGATGGGCTGTAGAGCAAGCACGCTTTCCCTTGTACTCCCAGCCTGGCTTGCTTTAGCTCGCTGGTGCTGTGTATTCAGTTCACCTGGGGGAGATTTTAAAGCACATGTTGGCCTGGGTCCCATCCCCAGAGATCCCTTTCGTGTTGGTTTGGGTCCGAAGCCCTGACGTTTTAAATGACGCCCAGGTGATTCTACGGCGCGACTATGGGTGAGAACCACGGCCTTAGCCCCTGGCCTGATTCCTTCGGGGGCCTTAAAAGTGTGTGGATCTTAATAGAGTGGGCAGGGGTGTGTTTTATGTCCCACCTCTGAGTGCCCACGGCAGGCACTTGCGACCTCTTAAATAAAATATACTACATGGAAAAACGTCTGGGAAAACCAAGAGGACAGATTAGAACCCGTTTCACTAAGCTGCACATTCTATTGGCTTCAGCACCTTTCTGAAGCAGTTCCTTTCATGGGGTTTATTTGATACTTAGCGAGTCACTTTTGAACTTCGACGCTGCCTACTACGCCAGACCTGCTTCCCTGTGGAATTGCCCTGGACATGCCTTTGGTAGGGTTGACAGAACATTACGTCATGATAGGGACCGCTGAAAATTTTTCTTCCTAATCAAGCCTAATTGCCATAATATAATAAACCCCAGAACAGAAGATGGAGAGAACCCTTAGAGCAAACTGGTGAAGAAGTGGGAATGCTGCCATCTAGTGGCACAGTGTCAAACTACTGTTTGACCCTACCGTGCCTTACAAACAGAATCCAGGAAAGATTTCCCTGTAGTATTAAAACCATATTATGGACGATGTCCTTATGACAATCAAGATATGAAAAAGGCAAGTGAATTATCTCTTTATTCATTTAATTAAAATCATAAATCGAGATATGATCCACATAATATGTAAGTCACCTTTTCAAGTGTACGGTACAGTGTTTTTAATATAATCACTAAGTCTGTATTCATCAACACCATTTAATTCCAGAGCAATTGTACCACCCCTAGAAGAACCTTCTTGCCCAGTAGAAGTCATTTCCTGTTCCTCCCTCTCCCCCACTTCCTCCTTACTGCTCTGTTCCCCTGACCCCAGCCCTAGGCAACCACAAAGTTATTTTCAGTCTCTTGTATAGATTTGCCTATTCTGGAAATTTATGGTACACTGAATCGAGGGGTCTGACTTTCCTTCTGAGTGGAGAGGAGCAGAGCCCTTTGGGCTTTTGTGACACTCAGTTAAATCTCCCTGTGGCCAGGCCTTCCCTGGAGTCAGTCCCTCATGGACACACCTTGGGGATGTAAGGACCGGGAAGGGACCTCTGGGGTAGGGAGGGGCTGCAGAAGGTGGGGTCTCTACATGCAGACAGAGGAGGCAGAAGTCACTAAGGCATTTAGGAAAAGAGCCTGAAGCGCTGTGAACCGTGCTTAGGAGGCTCGTCACAGGTGGCTTTGTTCAGGCAATATCTGTTACAGATAAATGTGGGGGCAGAAATAATGCTGCTGCCGCTTGCTGTGTATGGGGGGTTATTATGAGCTCTGGCCTGTGTGCTGTTGGAGGAAGGACAGCACCCCCAGTGTGAATGCAGTGCCCCAAAGGTGGTGTTTGCCAGTCTAGTTTATTTCAGAGGACACCAGCAACTGTAGCCACTCCTGGGCCCCGATGTCATGGTGTGCAGGGGCTCATTCGCCAGGGAAGGGTGCTCACCATGCCGCAGAACTGAACCATCCCAGCTGACCCATTTCTTTTATTCCCTCTTCTGTTCCTCTCTCTGCTCGCTCCTGTCTGGCTTCTGTCCGTGTACCCCTCCTCCCTGTGCAGGGGAGAATCTGGGATTCTGGGAAGCCTGTGAGGATCTGAAGTATGGAGATCAGTCCAAGGTCAAGGAGAAAGCAGAGGAAATCTACAAGTAAGGATCAGCCAGATTGCTGAGAGTCCTTTCCCGTGTGTGGGGCTGCAGTTAGAGAAGGAAGGGCCCCCACGTGCGGCCATCCTGGTCCTGCCCAGCCTCAGGCACTGCCCCTGCCACACCATGATACACCCTGCTGCTTTCGAAGGCTTGAGGGTCCCTCTGGAGGCAGCCTGGTGAGATGGTCCAGTAGGGTGCCCTGCTCCGGTGGGTATGCATTTAGGGATTGTCCTGAATTACAGTGCAAGGTTCATTAGACGTGTGTGTGTGTGTGTGTGTAAGACACAGAAAGAAACAGAGAGAGGAGTGACCAGATGGGCACCGCATTAGAAACCAGAAGACACAAAGGAAAGGGACAGAGAGCCCGATTTGGGGTCCGAGCCCGATTTCTCATCCGTGGCTCTCGCTGCTCCCACAGAAGTAAGTGAGCACCTCCTCAGGCCCCCCTTTCACATGACCCCAGATCCAAGGGCTCAGTTTAGAAGGCTCAGCCATGCTGCCAGTGGCCAGGGAAGGAGGAGAGAAGGCGGGACGAAGTCACCGAGACTGCTCAGAGCCACACTCCCACCAGCACTCCTCCCCGGAGCCGGGCGGGTGCCCACACCCTGCTGCGTTGGATCCCTGTGAGTCCTTCTGCCTGCCCTGGCCACAGTGGACAGCAGTGATTTTAGCTTGCACTCACAGCTGCCCTGCAGTTCCTGAGGCCCGAGCTCCACATGGCTGGAAGCAGCTCTCGCAGCCCGCTCTCTGCTGAGAACTCAGTCTTTGTCCTCTGGTGTCCTCCTACATGCGGAGTCAGGATGGACCATGCCAGTTCTCGGAGAGGAAGGGCTTCACAAAACAGCTGAGGCCTCTCTCCTCATCTCAGAGGCTCCTGTGCTCTGGCAGTTCTGCTCACCTCCTGCCACAGGGAGGGACCGGAACACAGAGAGGCTCGAGAGCGGATTCAGGTAGAGTGGGAGGACTCTGGTCTGGGAGAGTCAGATGGCAGCCTTCCCCAGCTCGACAGGCACACCACCACCATGCTTGCGATACGTGGACATCTCCTGATGTCTAACTCCTTCTGCAAGGGACTTTGCTGGTTTTGGGGTCACTTTAGCCACCTCCCTCCCCAGATGCCCACTTGGGGAAGTCTTAGTTGAAATTCCAAATTGTCACGCATATCTTAAGGGGGAAGGCAGAACGTCCATCCGTGGCCCGAAACAGCTAAGAATCGTCGTATTGACAGAGTTCCCTGTGCCCACAGCCCAGGTAGAGCCACAGGACTCAGAAAGCACAGCTGACGTTGGGGCCCCTGGGCTGGATGCCCAGGGGTCACGTTTCGGCCCCAACTCGGTGTTGAAGCTTCATCACCGAACCTGTTTGGACAGGGCCGAGGGAGAGCAGAGCAGAGGGCCCCGCAGGCACCTGTCTGGCGGTGTCCTAGCCTGGTTCCAAACTGCGCCCTGAGCCCGGGTGAATAAATAGGCAGAAGGGGTTGGGGTGGAAGTGGACTCTTTACCTTCTTGGCTAGGAACTATCACCACTTTGTTCTCTTTCCTAGAGGCTGGGGACACCTGAGTACTCTCATTCCCACAGCTGGTGTGGCTGTCCTCTTGCTTCTAGGAAAAGCTGCTTAACACCCTCTTCAGATGCTGTAGCATCTCTGAAAAACCTTATCAGCATCACCCCAGGGAGCCTGTTCCATCAACCCCTCTTGCCCTTGCAGCTGTGAACTCGGTGTAACTACTTTTGCAAACACGTCTTCCGTCCCTCCACAGACTGTTCCTGGCCCCCGGGGCGAGGCGGTGGATAAACATAGATGGCAAAACCATGGACATCACGGTGAAAGGGCTGAGGCACCCCCACCGCTACGTGCTGGACGCAGCCCAGACGCACATCTACATGCTCATGAAGAAGGTGGGTGCGCTGCGTGTGGGCCGCGCACAGGGCCTGAGAGCCCTCCGTGACATGGGGAGACCACTTGCTCGCCACCCCGGCTGGGTCCTCCATGGGCCAGAGGGTGAGGACACCTGCAGAAGCCGTGTGCACCTCAGGGGCCCCTCCCTCCGCAGGAGAGCTGTGGGAGCACCGGCGACACCAGCAATGGTAGAATCATAATGGCTGTCATTTGTGGAAGGCTTATTAGTTGCAGTCACCGTGCAGAGCGCGGAACTTTGTTGTGAAAGAGACCATCGCGCGGAAGGCTGTACTTCTCTAGCGGCGATGACGTTCCACCTCCTGCTCTCCTGGAGCCCATGCTCCGGGCTGTCCAGTGGCAGGGTGCGGTTCCTGTGGCCCTGGGCACATAGGACACATGGGAGGTCCCGTGTCGAAAAGAGACAAACCAGTGCAAACTAGGTACAACTCCAAGGGGGTTCAGTTGCCTTCTGGATTATTAACAAATGCCAACATGGTAGGAATCGTCCGGGAATTGTTAAAAATAAAATAAAGGGGACCCGAGAGAAAAATCATTCACTTTCTTAGGAAACGAGGACTGGAGGCTGAGAGGAGGGAGGTCCTCCAGTTTGGTCCCTACTCAGCGTCATCCCTGCCCAGGCTCCCTCGTGGCACTCTGACTGCTCACGGGGGCAATTATTCCCTTTATGGCAAAGTGCCCAACCAACTGTGCTGTGTGATTGAGTGGGGGTTGGCACACGTCTGCGATCTTCCCTTCCGTTTGTTTCTAGTTAGCCTTTTCTTGTGTTAAAGAAAATATATTTACTTTTTTTTTTTTTTTTTCTGGTAGCGGGAATTGAACTCAGGACCTTGTAGCTTTCGAGGGAGGTGGCAGAACTATTTGCTCCTGTAAAACAAAGAATTATTTAGAATTCTCAGCAGGCTACATTCGCCGTTTATCGCCTCCCCACTTTTTTCCCCATCAGGAGGGTTTCTTTATATTTTCCCACTGGCAGATCCACAGCATAGTCTCTTTAATGATAACCCTGCTTATGTGGTTTACAATATTTTGATTTTTTTAAAATGTAGTTTTCACAGTCTCTTAAGAGCTGCACAGGGTGGCCAGCTCCTAGCCAGGAAGGAAGAGTCACGGGTGTCCCTGCAGGCCGGGTGCTCTGGTGACAAGCTCACTGCGACTTGGTATCTCCACTAGCCCTATTCCCGGGTTCTGTCGTCATTCTCCTACCTGTGACGGATACTCTCAGCCCTTAGAATCATCCTGTGTCAGTCCTGCGTTGTTGCAGAGGGCTCTGTTCTGTCTCTGTCATGACCAAATTTTTTGGCCGGCCAGAAGCACCGTTGGAGAAGTCAGTTCCCAGACCCTGCACAGGGTCCCCAGAAACATCTCACAGTGGAATCAATGTGTATTTCTTTTCTCTTTTCTTGTATTCCTTTGCTTTTTACACCCAAACTTAGAGCAGAGAGCTCCGTGGTGGGATGGGAAAGGGTTCTATAGGTAGTACACCTTGGAGGATGGCGCTGGCTGGGAGAGGCTAATGTCCTCTGTCTCTTGCTGGCGAACAACTCTGAGGAGGATTTTGGTGTGTGGGGGTGGAGACTGTGCCTTTGAAAGCCCCAGGCTGTGCCATTCTTGGGGTTCCAGATGAGACCAGATTGGGATGGTGCCTTCCTGGCTGGTAATAAAAGACGGTATTTCTAACAAGTTCCCAGGTGACACTGGTGCCGGCCTGGGACCCACATCTGAGAGGAACTGCTCTCAATGGCTCCCTGAAATCTTTCAGGCAAGGAGACGAATGTGCCCTGTGTCATTCTGCCACCCAGCGAGGGCCAGACAGAGGGTGGCAAGCGTGTTTGATTTGACACATTCTCTCTCATAATCAGTTTTTTTTTCTTTGCTTCCACCAGGATTCTTATGCTCGCTATTTAAAATCCCCAATCTATAAGGAAATGCTGGCCAAAGCGATTGAGCCTCAGGAAACCACCAAGAAAAGGCAAGTGGAGCTATTTGTAATTGTTGCTGCCTGCTGTTTAGTTTATGGAGAAGCCAGGGTTTTTTCTGGCCCAATGGCTACTATTGATGTTTGCTTATGATAATATTGGGGACTGGAAAGTATTACATACACAGCATCTCATTTCTTCATAATGCCCTCAAATTACTCCAGTAAGATTTCCTTAGCAGTTAGTTCTTTCTAGGTTTGTTTCCCTCATGCTGATTTGAAAGAGTTCTGATTATCAGAACAATAATTACCCTTATCACAAATGGAAACATCTCACTGTTTTTTTTTAAATTGCCACTCTTCTCCACCCCCAAATTGATGAATGGGACTTCTTTTAGCTACATTTTTATATCTGCTTTGTTCCGAGCACTGCTTAAAAGAGAACAGCACATTGTATCCCAGAGAAAATGCTAGATTGGTAGAGGAGAAGAAGAGTCACGTTTGAAGTGTTCTTTTCACCTCCAGGGATTACCCTGTAGAAGCCTGTAGATTCATCCATTTTCCTTTTCACTGCAAGTGTACATCACTTCACCTTTTAGAGCCACTGGGACATTGAAGGACTCTAACATGGGGCAGAAAAATCGATCCCTCTTTTTTGGGAAAAACACAGGGATTGAAGATTCAAAAGAGTAACCGAATGACAGCTTGAACAAAGTCGTAGGACCCTGGCAGAGGCTTTTCAAAGCACTGGCAGCCATGTGTCCTGTCCCATGCTTAGTAAATGCCCAGAGAGCCCATGCTGGGCTTCTGTCCAACATCTTCAGTCCATTCTAAAGGAGGCAGTTGGACCATAGCCTTTTTCAAAGGAGCTTAAGGAAAAAAAAAAAAAAAACCACAAAAAAAACCCAGCTCGGTTCTTTCTTGAGGATAATGGTGCTGTTATGAACAGGACAGAAAGGAAGTCTTTGTGGTGAGTTCTAGGTTTACTGAGCAAGGAAGGGGGTTCAGTATCCCCGGGGACTTGAAAGCTTCTCTTTTAAGCCACAAGAAAGGGCTCTAATAGCCTCAGAGGGCCTGCCAAAAAGTGGGGGCAGAGGGAGGTGTCTCAGTGCACACAAGAATTCAGCTGGGATCCTTCCCAGACCCAGCTGGGGCTCTGAGAGCCTGGGGTGGTGGGGACCACTGGGGCACCCCTGGCTTTGGCGTGGGCCAAGGCAGTCTGGGACTGTTGTCGTCACCACCGTGAATGGGAGACACCCATGCCTGCTTCTGTATAGGATGAAGAGGTGGGAATGGCAGTGGGTAAGTTTGTTCCGTCACTCACAGGAATAGGACGATGGATTCAAGTTTAATTTTTCCAGGAGAAATTTAAGTCTACACCCTAATCCCTCCCTTTGGCAGGACTGTGAGACACCCAGTGTCAGGCAGTGCTTCCTGGTGGGGGAAACATCCACCTCCCAGACATAGATAGGAGAGTCCTAGATATGAAGATAGATATGAAGTCCAGAAATTGGAGTAGGTCCTAAGTCTTCAGTCTGTCATTGCTGTTGAAATACTCGGTTCCCAGGGTCGTGTGTGTCCTCAAGAGCAGGGTCTTATCTACTTAGTCTCTCTGGCTCCCTGGAGCACCTAAAGCTTTGTCTTGGCTCCTAAGGACATGGTAAAGAGAGTTTGGCTCCAGGAATCCTTACTTGGCTTCCGAAGGTTCTGACTCTGTGTATGAGCAGAGCCCCAGGCCACCACCCCGCTCCAAGCCCTTTCCTCCTTCTCTGCCTGTTGGAACCCTGCTGTCTTGGACAGTCCAGCTCTCTGTGCCCTCCCAGGACTTGGCTTTTGAAAAAAAAAAAATCAACTCTCAAGTGGGGTTGGGACGCTTAAGTTTCCATAGCCTGAGCCTGCCTCGCCTTCTCCTTTCATAGAGACCTTTCGGGATGTTGAGATGACACATTATACATATTGTAGAAGGTGTGCCTGTCATCTTTACCGTCTGCAGAGTCCTTTTCTTTGCGCATGACTTATAATCCCATGGCAGTTGGTGCTCACTCTGGTTCTGTCCTCCAAGGCAGGGAGAAAGTAACTTAGGTTAGAGTCGTAGCTCTGAGGACCCTACTTGAGGTTCGCTGGTGAAACAAAGGCACCCATCCAGATGCTGGCTTTCCAGCTCCAACTCCTCCTGGTTGTGGCTGTGGCAGTGGGCAAGAATTGTGGTTTTCCACCAGCCACCGAGGTGTCCTTCCTTGCAGCTCGAGCCTCCCATTTATGCGACGTCACCTGCGCTCCAGCCCAAGCCCTGTGATCCTGAGGCAGCTGGAAGAGGAAGCCAAAGCTCGAGAAGCAGCCAACACAGTGGACATCACCCAGGTCATGAGCAAGCTGGACCGTAGGAGCCGATTCAGAAAAGAGCCTCCTCCTAAATAGATGTGGAGTTCCTGGGGTGGGGTTTGCACTCGGGAGAGCAAACTAAGAAAGGTCAGTCGGAGCCTAGAAGATTCCATTCCCCGGTAGTAGGACGGTAGTGTTAACAGGTTTGTCCCAGATTCTTCTAACTTCCTTTACAGCAGACTTCCTGGCACTGGGGCCACGAGAGCTGATCTCACTCCTGGTCACCAAGGGCCAGGGCTGGTGATGGAAGGGGTTCCCTGACTCAGTTGCTGTGTGCTCCTCTGGTTTAGAAAGCCCCGTAGTGAGAACCATAGGGAAAACAGTCTGCTTTGTGTCCCACTATTCGCTTTGAAAATGACAGAGAAGACTTCTTTCTCCCCATCCCCACAGTACCTTTCTTTCAGGGACATTTGTTTAAAATAGCTTCGTGATGCTTCTCTTCCCATATCTTCAACTTAGACTGAGCTTCTAAATCATTTAGCAACCCAAGATCCCTCCCAGGGGGTGGCTGCAGGGTTGCCCCATAAAAGCATTTCCCTGGGCACCCCCCCCTCCAGCTGCCTGGGGAGGCCCTGCTAGCACCTGTTCTCCCATTGAGCTTGTTCCTAGCCGCCGTTATTTGAGGGCTCGCGGGCTGTCTCCTTCCTGTGTCTCTGTTCCTGTGCGCATATCGCGTGCGTCAGTGGCTTGGAAGAACGAAGCAGCGAGGCCTGAGCAGTCAAGGTGAAATGAGCTGCTGTGAGCATGTTTTTGGCTAAAGAACAAATGCATTTATGTCTTCATTCACGGGAAGGAGAGTGGACGACTGTGACATAAGATAGGATCAAATATACTTTTTGAGATATTTTCTAGATGTGGAGAATTACCTCCTGTCTAGCTACAGGTTAGGGCAGCTCTCTGATCAGGAGCAGAGGAGGAGGACGGTTCAGGCCCCAATCCTGGGAGGTCATTCTTGAAGTGAGGCCTCCACCATGCACCTGTATGCAAGAGAAAGAATGGAAAGTGAGCAAGGGACCAGCCTCATACAGCACAAATACTCAATCATTCACGTTTGTTGGGTACCTACTATGTACCTACTATGGTGAACAACATAAAGACACTGTTTCTTCTTCATGGAGCTTATCGTCTCGGACTGACCAAAAGTCATTTAAGCTAACAGATAGCTGCTGCTCTATAACAAGTGACCACAACTAGAGTCGCATACAGTAGTGTCTACTGTTTGTGCATATGGGTTCATCTCTGTGACTCTGTTGATCTTGGCTGGGCTTCCTTGTAGATCTGGATGGTCAACAGCAGTCTAAGCTGGGGTGAGAGGAGTGAGTCTGCTCTGCTCTATCTGTCTTTCATCTTCTAACAGCCTGGCCTAGACATGATCCCATGACAGCGGCAGAGGCCCAGGGATGCTAGGAGAAATACAAAAGGCTTCACATGGCACCTTCCACCTCATTTTATTGGCCAAAGCAAGTCCCCAAACCAGCCTAGACTGAAGGGTTAGGGAAGTAAATTCTACCTCTTTAGTTTTCTAAAAAGGGCAAATTCCCATGGCAGAAGACGTGGATAAAAGGAAGTATAAAGATTTGGGGCCATCATTATAATTACCAACACAAAAATATATAATAACAAGCTGTTGCCTGTATTCTATAGGAAATGGATACGGTATTGTCATAAAGAAGATGGGGTGTATGGACACTGTGCCTCTTTGAGGCAGTGACATGCAGGTGGAGGATAAAAGAGAGTTGATCAAAGAATGTGGGTCAGGTAGGAAGGGGGTTCTAGGGAGAGGAGACTATGTGGGCACATGTTAGATTGTCCACACAAATCACTGGAGACCTACTCCATGCCAGACAGAGGATCCCATAATCTATGGGAGATCTATGGCTTCATTCCTGGATGGCAAGATTATGTTCCATAGATGTACTTTAAAAATCACTTTTGTGTTAAGATCAGTGGCCAACACCATGCACTTATCAGATGGAGTACATAGTGGTACCAACAAGAGGAAGGATCATATCACAGAAGAAGGATCATATCAGGGATGAAGTGATCCATACTTTCACTGAGGAAACTGGACATCAAAGATTGAATAAAATTTTCCAGGTGGAAGGCAGAGAGCTATAGTTCATAATTTTGGTCTCTCTTCTTCCAGAAATGATTTGAGGCAACTTATAATAGTAAAATACCAGATGAGGGAATTTGTAAAAGGATGGATAGAAAACTAATTTTTAAAGTAGGGCTGAGCACAGTATACCTTACATGTCTGGGTTATCATACCTGAACATTACATTTTTGCAAACGTTAACTTTTGCTCTAAGTGTCTGACAACTACCAAGCCAAAAAGGAAAAAAAAAAAAGAGAGAGAGAGAGAGAGAGAGACAGATTTCTTCCTGAGAAGTCTACCATGACGTGAAATAAAACATTCAAACCTTTCTTGACCTAGATTCTCCCCTGACTCCCAGGTCCCAACAGGAAGTTGAAGATAAAATATGCTTCTGAAAGGAGATTTCTAAACCATTCCTGTTTGAGACCTGAAAGATGCAGAACTGAATAAAACCGTCAGGTGTAATTTCATCAAGTTTACATTTCGGTGGAAAGAGGCAGAAAGTAGATGACAGAGACGTGCTCTAAAGAAACAGAAAGCTGGCGTGAGTAATTCTGAATTGTGGAAGGGAAGTAATTTTAGATGGACTCATTCACCTGGGAGCGACTGCTGAAGATGGTGAGAATGGGCGAGTTCAGGGAGAGAAAAAAAGCTAAGAGAGAGTCTTGGAGTAGGCCCTGTTTTCAAGGTATGGAGAAGGAAGAGTTAAGAGTGGAGGAGAAGAGCTGTCAGAGTGTGCCACACGGGAGATGGTGAGGGTACGAGCGAGTGGTGCGTAGTTATGACACAACAGAGGTTGTGTGTCTTACCCTTTCACTTCCCAGCCTCCCCTGCGGTTAGGTCTGGCCAATGGGCAGTGCTGGGGCTCGGAGCCTGGTGCTCCGTCTCCACCGCAGGCTCTGCTGGGACTTGAGATCATATCAACGTCCACAGAGTGCAGCTGTGAGATGCAGGAGGCCGGCTGGCCCACACTGGACTTATGTGACCAAAATGTGGATCTTGGTTATAAGGCACCACCGAGAGTGAGTTTCTGCAACATGGCTCCTGCTGTCCTGAATCACCAAGGAGGAGTTGAGTGTGTTGAAGACTAGAAGAGGCCACTGGAGCTAGGAACTAGGAAATCACTGGGGACATTTAAGGGGTGCTATCAGTGGAACAGGAAGGGCAGAAGTCAGATGTTATAGTAGGCAGTAAGTCTAGATCACCATTTCAAGAAATTTGGGGTAAAGATGAAGGATGTAGTGGTAACTTGGAAGATTGACAGGGAGCAATTTTTAAAAAGACAGGGTGAAATGGGTGTGTTTATCAGATGAAAGGATGCTTCCAGGGAGACTGGGAAATAAGGCGAGGAATAATTGCCAGGTGTGATGGTGCACCTCTGTATTCCTACGTACTCAGGAGGATGAAACAGAAAGATTGCAGGTTCAAGGCGAGCCTGAGCAACTTTGTAAGACCCAGTCTCAAAATGAAAAAAATAAAAAAATAAAAAGGGCTGGGGATGTAGCTCAGGAGAGTACTTGCCTATCTTACGTGGGGCCCTGGGTTCAGTTCCAGTGCTAAACACACACACACACACACACACACACACACACACACACACACGAAAGAAAGATGATAGGGATTGCTATAGATGGACAGACACACGTGGGGGAGGAGGGAGAGGGAGAGAGAGGGAGAGAAAGAAGAGCTGACGAGAGAAAGGCTGGACTAGATGTACAGGGCTGGATGGGATCAGACCAAATTCCAGATTGGTCTTGGAGGGAACAGTTCATTACCTCCCATCGCACCTCAGAGAGATTGCGTTTGAAAGGAGGAAACTGAAGGCACTTGGGATGAGACCATTTTTCAGGAATGAATGGAATTTGTGGTATTTGATAATCTCAAGGCTGGGGGAGGGCAGTGGGGCTGCAGCAGGAAAGTTCTTGCCAATTCTCGCGGGCCATAGTGTGACACAAAGCCAGGTGGAGCTGAGTGGAGAGGCTGCCAAGCTAGGAGGAGGATGCAGTGTCCCATTTCTTTATCTGGAAACCTTTGTGTGTTTCGAAGGTGAAAGGGGCGGTGGGAGAACTCTAGGGACACTTAGAGTCAGCGGGAAAGAGAGTTAAACAAGCATGAGTGGCCGAGTTATGGGGCAGCCCCACAATGGATTGGGAGGGCACAGCCTGGAGCACTGCCCGTCTGGGGAGGAGCAAAGACTCGGGAGATCAGAGGGGCCCTGAGTCAGTTGATGGTGTACGCTGACCATCGATGCTGGGAAGCCCTGTGCAGTCCCTGACAATGCAGAACTCCACACACTTGTGTGGCTTCCCTGCGTCTCAGCTCCAGACAGCAGCCCATCAGCTCCTTTCCACTCTTAGTCCTGCCTCCTCCCCAAATGTAAGAGTCTGCCAGTGTTCTGCTCTTCAGTCCTGGAATCCACCGGGAGAGTCTCACGTTTCACAGGAAAGGGGGCACAGGTCCCTACCTCGGTCTGAGGTCTCACAAGGATGTCCGTGGATGCCGTCGCAGCTCTAGCAGGTGGCAGCTGTTTCTGCTAACTTCATTACCATGAGTCCAACCTTACAGCGGCCCCATGGGCCCTTCTGGATCTCAAATGGTGTCGGAATAATATTTATGTGGACAGTATGATTGGTGTATTTAAATAATGATAATAGTCTCTATTATGCCACATACGTAGGCCCATCTTAACTCCTTGTGTCATATAGTTTAGCCACCATAACCATGGAGTACACATCTTATGTGAGAATACGTTATTCTCTAATATGCCAGGATTCCCTCAATAGCAGTTCATTTTCCAGCTTGACTTTTAGAGAAAAGACCGCTTCCTCCAAGTGAAGGTTAGAGAAAATATAAGGATCAGGGATAAAAAATAAGAGTAAAGTGCTTAGGACCGTGTCTGGGGTGTGTAAGTGCTCAGTAGGTGGGAGCTGCTTGTATCATCATCACCATCCTCAGCAGCATCATCGCTATCAATATGACCCATTTTACTGTCACCGCCATCCCCTCTCCCATCCCCACGCTGCTGTTACACGACCACCACGACCACTTCCGCCACCACCATCACCGCCGCACTGCCTGTCAACAGCACCGCTGCAACTGTGACCATCGCCACCGCCACGACTGTTCCCACCGCCGCCGCCACCACCGTGGTCCCTGTCACCGTCACATCCGACATCACCACCATTGGAGTTGATGTCATGTCCCCACCTGGGGGTTCTTGGAGAGATCAGTGCAGTGACTTGAGCCGTGATCCTGAAGTTTGTGGCTGAAGTAAGGGTCAGTTTCCAATGGGAAGGTCTTGTGCTGGACTGTGCCAAACGGGGTGACTCAGGAGAAACGCCAACGTCATCCCAGGGGAGTTTGCCCGAAGGAGCCAGCCTTGCTTGTTTGCTTTTGGGGAGTTGGGAAAGGAAGAACAGGGAAGACTAGAAGTGGGACACTGTGACCTTCATGCTGACCCTAAATTTGACACTTAAGTCCACATCCTGCTCCCAGGAAGGGATTTCAGACTATGGGTTCTCAGCCACTTGCAGTGGACAGAAAAATCAGTCGCATCTCTGCACCATCTGCTTTGCCTCCCATTACAATGATCGTGTTCTCCTGTTAATGTACCTGATCCATTTCATGCTTCTTCCCTCCTTTCCTGGTTCCCTCGCACAATAAAAAAGCAGTATGCAACAACAGAAAGATCCAGCTGCCCTCTACTTTGTCTGTGTCCTGTCACATTTCTTTGTCACATGTCTTGCATGTCGCTGCTTTGCTGCCATATACCAGTGCGAGGTGGGGCTCGAGCCACAGGCCTCTGTGTAGGGGCCAAGGTAGATCTGTAGTTACCCGGTGGGAGGGAGTAGAAAAAGCATCCTGCTTAGAGTATCCTGGTCCACCTGGACTAATGGCCATTTGCTCAGAAGAAAAGACCGTATCGGGCCAGGTCAGTGGAAAAAGATAGTGATCACCTTTCTTTACCTGTCTTGCCATTCATCCTGGAATAAAGAAAGTGCTGAGGGAGAAGAAGGATAGGGACAAGGGAGAGACGGGAGGGGTGCAGAATTAGGGGAGGGCGTGTAGTCCTGAGATGTAGGATCTTGGGCAATTTGCGCCTGCTCTATGAACTTCAGTTTTTTTTTCTCTCTCTCTCTAAAGTGGGATTGTAGCAGGAATTTCTCATAAATTGTATGGGAGCGGGATTTTAGTTAAGAAACCCAGTGGGTGTGGGTGTGTACCACTTTGACACCTCTCTACTTTCTCTGATGAAATCTTTTTCCTAGTTTGGGTATTTTTTGCCCCACTTTCTTTTTTTTTTTTTTTCCATGAACAAATGCAGACTTTATTTCCCCTGGAATATACATAGAATTATACAGCACCAAACGTCTGAGAGAAGAATTTGTGAGGTGCTAAAAAGAAAATATACCTTTATATTCATCTTCTGAAACACTGATTTGTCAGTATCAGAAGGCTGTAAACTTTGTATTAGTATTATAATCTACAACACAAGTTTTGTAAGCATCTGACAGAGAATGAAGTATTAATTCTATTCTGATGTCACTGGGTTGAAATATACATAAGTTCCACAAAAGTTAACAAAGGCAGGGCCAAGGATTTAGCTCACTGGTTTCGCCGCCTGCCTTGCAAGCAGAGGGACCTGAGTTAAACCCCCAGTAGCCCCCCCCAAAAAAAGTTAACAAAGACTGATGCTCTTAAAGATGCAAAGTGTAAAGAGAATAAGCATTATGGTGTGCCATGATTAAGTTACTTTCTAAAAAGGAAAAATCAACAAATTACAATTTGCCCCACTTTTCTAGATCCCAAGTCCTATCTGAACTCCACAGGCAAAGAGAAGGCAGCGTGGAAACAGCACAGACTCGGGCTCAGCTTCTCATGTAGGCGTGGGTTTCGTTTTCCACTGCTGTGTGACAAATGACCACAAACAGTATTTATTAACTGACAGGCATCTAGGTGAGACTTGGCTGGCGTCTTAGTCGTGAGAATCCTCTTGAGCCTTACTGTTGCGTTTTCTGAAATTGGGTGGCTGTAGATTCAGTGTGTCTGGCAGGTCTAGTAGATGCTTAATAGATCATTTAGAAATCCCATTTCCCCTAGCAGTTGTCTTTCAATGCTTCCTCCAGGTCCAGCTCTCTCCCCTGTTGTGGTTCTTGGGAGAGAGGACTCCAGCTGGAGCTGCACTGCCCTGCAGAAGGGAAGGGCTGTAGAAGCTTACTGGTCTCGTGGCACGTCAGAGCGTGTGTCCCCAAACCCAGAGTCCCCTTCAGTGGGGCTGGCTGAGGCCAGGATCTGCTCTTATAACCAGCACCCTGGGGCATCTGAAATGGCTGCTCCTGGAGCCATGCAGGGACACCTGGCCCGAGGCTCTGCACACAGACTCATGTTAGCGAGTTTGATGTCAAGGCCGCCCTTCCATACCCACAGTTTCTTGGCTTCTCAAAGCATGAGTTTCTTCACCTGTGAAATGGGGATAATGGTGAATTGCCTTACTGAGAAGCTCTGGGGAGTAAATGCAATAATCTGTAATCAGAAGTAAAGTGCTCAGCCCAGCACCTAAGCTAAAACATGCTAAGCTTTTGCTGCATGTTTTTCAAAAGCGATGATTATCATTAGTGTAATAATCCAGTCGCTCTCAGCTTGGCCCTGGCTCCTACCTGTGGGAATCCAGGCAGCAGAGCGGCAGCCCCAGCTGCTATTTGGGAATGGGATCATGGTTGGACTTCAGGGAGCCCACGTGGAGAATGGAGACCCTTTCCATCCTACCCAGACTTCTCGACCTCTACGGCCCCCTGGCCTTTCTCTTCCTCCAAAAGGAGTTCTTAGGTGAGGCTGCCTCTCCTGTTCCATTTGAGCCTGGCCCCTCACATGTCCTGGAAGCCAGACCTCACTGTGCAGAGGCCAGCCGCCCCTGTCCAGAACTGGCCATCCTCCCTCAGCCGCGGGGCAGTGCTTTGCTGGGGGTGGGGAGGAGACAGGAAGAAGCCACTGAGCAGAACGTCCCAGTGTTTGTTTCAAAGAAGGCCTGTTCACTGCAATCATTTTCAATTCTTTCTCAGTGGTGGCATTGGTCCAACTGTGCCGTACACCTGATCTGCCCCAGAACCTCTATCCATGCTGGGCTTTGACCGGCATGTGGCTGCAGCAGGCCTTTGCGGGGGAACTCGGCAAGCCCAAGCCATTAGGCTGTCTCTGCTGCAAGGGGAAGAGCCTCGTTGGAATTCTTGATCTTTCCTTTGTCAGCTTAAACAAAGCTCCTTCAGGCTCTGTGAGCTGAAAATGTGCCACATCCACCATCCCGCCCAAACACTCAGGGTGGGGGCCACAGTAGGCCGGGAGGCCGAGATCCTCAGCCCTCGAATATTGGGCAACTCTTCACCCTGTATAGCCTGCTTCCTTCTGGCCAACATGCCCAGGTTCTACACTCAGCCTTTCCTCCCACGGTTCCTCAGTAGGTCCTGTCAGGGTGGACATGGACAGGTTTCAGGACAAGGTAAGGTCTCTATCTGGAAGAGGCAGCAAGGCATAAGCTGGGAAGACTTGTGCCATCTCCCTGGCTCTGTCAAAGTGGTAACTCTCTCCAGACGGGCCAAGGATGGAGGTGAGGTGACAAGGAGTAGGGCGAGGTTGAGATGTTTTTCATTTGGGGACTGGCGTGAGGAGTGATTGAGAATCATCCTGGCTACACACCAGCACCCCAGGCCTGGAAGGAGGGTAGTTTGTGCCCCCGGGGTAACGCTGTCTCTTCAAAGGGACTGTGGTCAGGGCTCAGGGACAGACGAGACAGGTGGAGGGATGATCTGGAATGAGGCCTCCAAGTGGCTGTGCCACGGTCACACCTGGCTTTGCGAACTTCCCAGCTAAAGGGACTGTGGTCAGGGCTCAGGGACAGACGAGACAGGTGGAGGGATGATCTGGAATGAGGCCTCCAAATGGCTGTGCCACGGTCACACTTGGCTTTGGGACCACTTCCCAGCCCGCCAGGGAGGCAGCCCTACCAGGCCTGAACTCTTGGCATCGGAAGGGCCTGAGTTAGCAGAGGACAGCTGGGGGCCCTGGTGACCAGGACCACAAATTCCCCACTGAGCTCTCTCCCTTTCTCCTCCACAGCCAGGCCAGCACATGGCTCCCAGCCCCCACCTAGCTGTGTACACCGGGACCTGCGTGCCGCCGCCCTCTCCTTCCGGCCCCTTCTCCCCCTCCTGCCCCTCCCCCCGGAGGCCTTTCCGTTCACCCAGCCGCTTCATCCGGCGGCCCAGCAGCACCATCTGCCCCTCACCCATTCAGGTGGCCCTGGAGAGCTCCTCGGGCTTGGAGTCCAAGGGGGAGGCCAGCTGGTCCAGTGCCCACCGCGGGCCCCTGGCTACCGAGGGCACTGAGGTCTCCGCTGACTGCCCTGGGGCTCGAGGCCAGCCCAGGGCCCCCACCAAGGTCCGCGCAGCTCTGCCCTTCAGCAGGTTCCTGAGAAGGGGCTGCCTGGCCTCACCTGTCTTTGCCCGGCTCTCGCCCAAGTGCCCTGCTGTGTCCCATGGCAAGGTGCAGCCCCTGGGGGACGTGGGCCAGCAGCTGCCGAGGCTGAAACCCAAGAGAGTGACCAAGTAAGAAGCAGCAGGGGTTGGCTGTGAGTGTGGACGGGAGCTCTGTGGTGTGACTGTGCTCTGGGTGGATCATGGGGAAGACCCCGGGGAACTGAACCACAAGTGGGCTGCTGACACCCCTGGGTCACTAGAAAGCCTCTGGAAACCCAGTCCTGTCCTCCGTTTTCTTGAGAAGGAGAAGAAGGGACAGGTGTCTTTCTTTCTCATTTTTAATTCCCTGTCCATGCTCTTGCCTCTACCCTGCCTCCCTGCAGGGCATATTAATCTTGTAAATTTGTGGCATTTGTAAGGGGCAGGAAAGACTGGTGGCTGCTGTGGGGACCACAGGTGGTGAGACCCTAAGGCAAGTTCCAGTGACATCTGAGCCCCTCCCTCATCCTAGGTGCCCTTACCTCCTGGTCTCCAGCATCCAGCCACAGACTTCCTTAGAGGAGCTGGCAGGGATCCTTAATGCAGCACTGGTTTCTGTGACAATGACATTGTCCAGAGTTGGCCTGAGCAGTGGCCCCTCCTTATTCCACTCCAGGTGGTCCTGCAAGTCTGACCTCTGAGAAGTCCAGGTGCTCTGACACAGCCACCAGAGGCAGAGGAGAGAGAGCCGAATTGCAGACAATGTAAAACCAAGAACCAGCCCCAGCCTTATGGGTTTTGGGTGGACAGGGGGACCCCTGAAGCAATCAATCCAGCTCCTGTGTTTGGCCATGCCTGGGCTTGGAGAAGGAAGGTTGCTCCTGCCCCTGTCTATCACATGGGGGAGCACGAGGGAAAGACAGCTCTGAAGCCTTAGGAGGGGTCAGGATCCAGTGTGAGTATGTCTGCTGACCTTCCCCACTGGCCCTGTGGAGGGAATGGGTTAGCTTGGTGGCCACTGTCATGCCTCACATGTGGGCATAGGGCTTTTAAAAGGCTCTCTTCCCTGGGGCCACCATGTCCTCAGAAGGGAGTCCAAAGGGATTGAGAATTATGTACTGCTATGTCCTACAGAAACACCCTGAATTCATCAAAATCCTACACTTTCAAGCCCTTCAAAAAAGAAAAGAATTATCTTTAGTTTAGCGGGAAAGTAGGCATCCCCGATAAGGGGATCCTCCCCGGCCAATGGCAGCACACCCGAACTTTGGTAAATGCCCCTGTTGTGCTGGTCTTCCCTCAGGCTGTCGGGATTCTTTGGAGATTAGCTGTCCGCCTGCTCTTTCATCACTTGCTTTTCTTTTGTGTCTGAAGCTTTTTCCAGATCAAAATGGATGTGCCTACAGACATCGGGCCTTTCCTGATGGACTCAGATGACACAGGGACAGGAGAGTCTGGGGACCGGAACACAGAGAAGGAGGTCATCTGCCCCTGGGAGAGCCTGGCCTCGGGAAAGGCAGGCTGAGCTGGTGCCATGGCCCAGGAAGGTGCTCCTGGAAGACACTGCTAGACAAGGCCATGGGGTGCACTTGCTCTCAAACCTAAGTGCGTTAGGATGAAGTTGGAGGCTGGTGAGCCTAGGTAGGATGTGGTGATGAGTGCTCCGGCTGGCTCCCAACGGCCATCCCTTCCTTTCCCTTGACTTTCCTTTGCTTGGCCAGAAACGCATGTGGACCAGAAGTTCCTTGCTGCCTTAAAACTAATAAAAGGATGAATTGGAAGAGTTTCTTGGATTGGACTATTAGCATGTGCCCAGCGTTAGTAGTTATTCAGGAGCTAAATTCACATCTTCTTCAGTTTTGTGACTAAAGGACTTTGAGTCCTCTCAAGAGGTCTCCCTTCCTGTCTACATGGGTTTGGGAATGATGTTTTGCCAGCTGAGCTGCGGGGGACAGCCGGGGGAAGGCACACTCTTAGAGCACCAGATCGCTCAAGAAGTTGGCACCAAAGCAGGGTTTGTTGGGGAAAGCACCGGAGAGGATAAATGGCTGGGAACTGAAGAAGAAGGTGGGAGGATCTGGCCTGGTGCAGATCTGACCTCGGGTATGGAGGTAGGGAGCAGAAAAGTGTCTGGTGGCAGCACAGTTGAAGGGAGATGTGGTTAGGCCACCATGTGAACGTACTGAGTCCAAGTCATCGTCAGAAGAGTCTTGCAGGTCCTCACAATGAGCCTGCAGTGGCATTCCTGTTGTGCATGGTCACCAGCTGGGAGCCCTCTGCGGGAAGCCTCGCCCCCCGCAAGGTCGTGCTGGTGGGTCATGTTCCACAGCAACTGGGTCGTCAGCTCATCTGCATTAGGCACTCTGGACACCATTTTAATGTCTGTTGTGCTGGGCTTGTGGGTGCTTCCAGATGTGTGGGTTTTGGCTGCCCCTTCCACCTCTTCTCCCAAGTAGTCATCCAGTGTGGATTTATTCCTGAGCCCCTTCTGTGTGCTCAGGCTGTGCTAGGCCTGGGGATGTGCCTGAGTGTAGGACTCCTTGTGCCATAGATTCATCATCTCCTGATTCCCAACCTGGTTGATTTTGTTCCTCAGGGGACATTGGGCATGTCTGGAGTCATTTGTGGTTGTCGCAAATGGGGTGGAAGGTGAGGGTTACTGCTGGCATCTAGTAGGTAGAGGTTAAGGGTGCTTCTAAACATCCTACAATGCATAGCACCCCCTACCCCCATAACAAAAGATTGTCTGTCCAACAATGCCACTGTTAAGAAATCCTGGACTAGAGGTTACAAATGACGTAGCAGTTACAAATGTCTCTGGTTTCTGCCTCAGCCCTGAAGGATTGCCCCAGAGGATCCGACTGGGACCATAATTGGTATAGACAGTGGGTTGAGATTAAGACCTACATGGTAAATAAAACATTTCTTAAAAGTCGCATGAAAAGCCCTCAAAGGGGGGAAAAATTCCAGTGTTTTGTAAATCACTTGTTCTGCTCCTGCCCTGGAAAACTCAATTAGCAGATAAGAGCCCCTGACCTGCTGTTAACCTCTGACAGCTTATTTTATCTAAGCTGTAAATACTGGGGCTGTGGAATCATCTCTGCACACTTCTAAAAATGAATGTTGGGATGACTGAGCACTCTGCGAGGATGAAGCAGGAAGATTGCAAACTCGAGCCCAGCCTGGGCAACTTAGTGACTTAGACCCTGGCTCAAAAATAAAAAATTTCAAAAGCCAAGAAATACAATTCTATGTTGAAATCTATTCCTGAAAAACAAAAACAAAAACAATAAAAATGAATGTTGAGCAGGTATGTGGCCCAAACTCTGACCTGCTGATCCTTGTAGGATAACCATACAATCTTCTATACTTCAGGGGTGTTGCCCATTTTAAATTCTCCCAAATCTACTCCACTTGGCTCATCGAATAGTTACTCGTCGAGGGCTAAGGAAACTTTTCTCCCAGGATGTGATTGAAATAGTGTGGGTCTTTAATGGGAGAGAAATGGGTTGGTTAAATAGATGACTTTATTTGTAAAGCTGGTCTAAAACAAATTAAAAGTGAGGGCAAACCAAACCCTTAGTTTGCTGCTAGCCAGTATGCCAAGAAATAAGGGGCCTCCCAACCTGGATTTGGATGCTAGTCTTTATCGTGCTCCACTTCTAAACCCCCAAGGTTCTGTAGAGAACCAAGTCTTGCTGGCTCCCAGCAGCAATGACAGAAGGCTCCAGAAATCTCTGGTTGGATTAGGTAAGGTGTAATTTAAAATCAGTTGAAATAGACCCGAGAAGGAAGGGGTCCAAATATGTGGGAGTTTTCGTGTCTCTGTCACAGTTGCCCAAAGACAGGAGGCTATGCTAGGACAAACAGAGTACAAGGAAGATAGAAGATGCAGGTATAACATTTTCTTTTTAATCCTTGTTGCTCTCCCCTTTCTCTAGTTATAGATATGATGATTCTTTATCTTGTGTGGACATTAGAAAGCATGGAGAAACTTGATAGATCTGGCCCTGCCACCCCCTGTCCAATCAGGCCAGAATTTCTGAATCTGATTCCTGGTATCAGGACTTTTAAAGAGTCTTTTAATATCCTGACTAGGTTGAGAACCACTGCTCTGAGGTAGGAATGAAGCATCCCCTCAGCTATGTCCAAACACAGGAGGAAGTGGTAGGAAGGCAGCTGCTTCTAAATTCACAGCCAGAAGTAGCCTGCGTACTTTCCTCTCCCATCCCATTGGTCAGCACCTGGTCATGTGGCCTCTCCTCGCCGCAAAGAGTCTGGGATGTGTAGTCTTTAGTCAGACCAATTTATGAGCAGCCAAATTTCCAGAGGTTCAAACACTGGGAAGGAAGATAAGGCAAATGGCTATTGGTAGACACTTGGTCTCTCCCACACTGGAACTATCACATAGTCTTGGGGGAATGAAAATATATTGGAAATGGGGGAATATGAGAGACAAAGCAAAAGGGGATAGGAAGACTGGTTAGGGTTTGTTTCTTTTCTTTTTGCCAAATATTTGGTAAGTGCCTAACAATGCAACCACACTGTTTTTCATGATGGAGTGGCTTTTCACTCAGTGCAGATGTGAAACTGCATGTCATAATCCAAGTGTGCTACTAGGAGCAAAGCCCATTCCCTCACAGAACTGCTCTTTTTGCTCTGAAGCAAGCTGGAGGACTCTGACTTGCGAGTTCCTGGTGCAACATAAGATGTGAGTTCTGTGAGTCTTGCCTGGTCCCTTTACAGTTTGGGATAGCACCTTAATTTCTTCTGCTAACTAGGGGTGTCAGTGTGATCTTCCTCATGGGGTTACCTGGAAGCACACAGGATGATACAGCCCATGTAGAGCCCTGGGAAATCCTTTGCGTAGCTTAAGAGAGGGCAAAGCCCCAGTGTGTGAGCTTGTGACTTCCAGATCTCTGCCTTTTCTAGGCCTGTCCCCCTGCCCAGTATGCTGTTTCATAATGGGCAGGTGGTTGGCACCAACTGTCTGTGCTCAGACTTCAGGGGCACAGCAGAAAGAGGGCAGAAAGAACTCTATTTTAATATCTTATTACATTAGTCAGTGTCCCGGGAATGTGCTTATTTGCTTTCTCTTGACAATCAACAAGCAGAGCATTCCGCCAGGGGCCCCTAGGTGTTTACCCCTTTGTTCTCTGGAAAGGGCACCCTGGACCCATGTGAGGCTGTGTGTTCATGGAGCCCCAGGGGAAGCCATGCTGCTTGGGACTGCCAAGGAGCCTGTGCTGGCTGCACACCCGAGGAGTTCTGGTGCTCAGCAGATGGGCTGGGGTCGATGAGAGGACCAAGAGCTGACTTAGCAACGCATCCAACTCAGGCCCAGCTCTCCAGGCAGGGAGGTTGTTTCCTTCTCACACTTCACCAGAAGAGGGAGTCAGAGGCTCACCGATCCCGAAAGAGAGGCATCTGGGATTTATCCCGCTAGATTTCAGAGGCCTGTGCTGCAAAGGCAGGAAGAGGATCGAGAGAGTACTTTCCTTCTTGGAACGCCTGGAAAGATTGTGGGGGGCAGCGAGAGAACAGGGCCTCTACTGGGCACTTTGTCCTCCTGTCCTCAGTCCCCAGAGCTCAGTACCCATGAGTGGAAAACCTCTTGCTGGATCTCTATGCTGCCTGCATGGCCCTTGGTGACCGTGGGTTCCCTGACTACTGTGTGCAGATGAGGGCTATGGTGACTTTGGGTGAGGGTTGAGATGCCACGAACAATTTCAGCAGGTAGGAAATTTTCTCAATCTTGCCCAGTGGACTGAGGCTAAAAAGAATCCCATCCATGGACCAACGGTCATCTCTGTGTAAAGCTCTGTCAGCTAGGATGGGAGGCCAAGGGAGCCTCATTGCCTTTGACTCCTTAGCCGAAAGGGGAGGCTGGAAGGGTGCAACATCCAGAGCGGCCAGACCAGCATAAAGGGGGAATAAACAAGCTTTTCAACTCCTCAGCTGATGGCAGGGACCCCCATATGACAGAGATCAAGAGAGGAGCTGGCTCCTTTGCTTCTGGGGTCAATGGCCCTTAGGTAAGGGGGACTACAAGGGCACAGCACTCTGGCCATGTGAGCACACTCTGGTCTGTGTGATGCACCCATGGGACACACAGGACACCCAGGATATGGGTGCAGCAGGGACGTGACCCAGACTCCAAGACCACGATAATTCAGGGTAATGTACATGGAAATCATCACCAGCAGTGGGAGGAGCTTGGGCTTATGAAGATCAGCTGTCTCGCTGGGCTTTGCCCCACTAGAGTTCAGTGTTTAGGGAGAGGTGCCATGGTGTGTGAGATGAGCATTGGGGTGCTGTGGGTGTCCAGCTCTGGGCTAGTCCTGAGCAGACCACGGTGTGTCTCTCTGCAGAACCTTTAGAAAAGGAACAGTCTCATCACAGTCACATCTGCTAACTTCTGTGATGCAGCCTTAACCTGCTTGTACACACTAGCCTGGTCCTGAAGGATTTGACCTCCGGAAGTTAGGGATTTGGATGCTCATCTTACAGACTCACACTTAAGGACCTCCTTGTGAATTCCTGCTCACATTTAACCCTCAACTACAGTGCAGTGGGCAACCGCAGCACCAATGTCAATTTGTCATTTCCATTTCCCCACTTGTAAGTGGTAGAAGCTTCAGATGAAGTCTAACATGGTCTCCCTCCCCCCCTCCCCCTC